CTGAGAAAAAGGGCTTCAAAGTTTTATTACCGTCCACCCGTATGTGTAATAGGCAGGTAAATTACAGTGTACTGCTGTACTTATTCAAGACCAAGCATAGCTGAAATAAAATATTTTATCATGAGCTAAAACAGAGTATAAGTGACCCGATTTTGGTCATAATTCAGTTTTCATTAAATATGCAGTTACTGTGTTTTGCCTTTGTGGGGCAGTATAGAGTAGTGCCACTATCTTTCAGGCTCCTTGCTGATTGGTTGTGTGTAGATGGTCTTTATTTGGTTGATATGATGATGATCTGCATGCACTGAGCTGTTAGGCACTTTAGAGAAATGCAACTGCCATATAAATATAGACGCTTGCCGGGTTGTGATGGGGTTACGTTCCGATAAACCTATCTTAAGGCGAAAATGCATTCTAATGCAGTACACCTAACCTAACAAACATCATAGCCTAGCCTAGCTTACCTTAAAACATGCTTAGAACACTTGCATTAGCCTACAGTTGGGCAAAATCATTAACACAGACACTATTTTATAATAAAGTGTTGAACATCTTATGTAATTAATTAATTTATTTACTGAAAGTGAAATACAGAATGGAATTGGAATACCCATCGTAAAGCAGAAATATCGTAAGATGGACCATCGTTTATGTTTTAAAAATGATGCCTTTAACAGGAAGTGGGGGTATCGTATATTTTCCCACAATTCCTTTCAAGAGCAGAGCCTTTGGCCACAGTGAACGTAATGACACTGACAGTCAAATAGCACGTTCAGTCACTCTGGGCAGGTAATTATAGCGTGAGTCACAGACAACATGCTGAGCGTGCTAGTGGGACTTTGACTCCTTATTCCTGCAATTTTTCACTTTGCATTTTAGGTTGTGAGGTTCTCTGAATGTTCATACGTTTACTGTTTTTGTGTGTTAAGTTTACATTCGGTCACCGTGTAATAGCTTGAGTCATTTATTTCATTATCTAGCAGATCCTTACCTGGAGAGGGTGCGATCGCCGTGATTCAGGGAGGGTAGGGATTACTGCTACATCCACGTGGTCAGCAGTGATTATTAGCATGTGTACCATTGAAGGGGTGGTCAGGGAATATTGCCTCATGCAGAGAAAGTGAGTTGTTACCTTAACCAGACATTAAATTGACTTTCAAAATCATGTTTATTAGTCATTTTAATAAACATTATGTTGCATGTTGTATATCTGTGAGTTTGGATGGCAGTGTAGGTGGTACAGTGCAGTAGACTGTAGTGTAGGCCGGTAGACTTCTATACCGAGGACTTCATTGTGAAAAAAAATGTAGTATTTGTAGTACAGCTGAGTAGGATACATCAGTAGCTCTTCCTTATAGTATGTCTGACGAAGCCTCTCTGTGCTCAGTTAATGGATACCAAACGTTAATCCAGCGGGGTCCTGTGTAAGTCTCACGTTTAAAGATGGTGACAGGCGGTTTTTAATAATGGTTGAAGAGAAATGTGATTCCAGCACCTGGATTATGAGACTGCAGAACACCTGGAAGAGGAATGGGAGGGTTGATCAGGTGCAGTACCGAACCATGTGGTCCAGATATGTGGGGGAGGGACTGTCCAGGGCCGACTGTAGCTATAGGCAGAAAGGGCAGCTGCCTGGGGCCCAGAATCACCTTCGTTGTGGAGGAGATTAAATGATCATCAGTTTTCTCATTGGGAGGACTCCCAAGTAAAGCTTTGCCAGGGGCCCCAGAAAAGGTAGAGACTGCCCTGGGGCATGTTTGAGATTGAGATTAAGATTAAGATTAAGATTAAGATTAAGATGGGCTTTATTGACCCATGGGCAAATTCTGGTTCATACAGCAGTGAGAATGTAGTGTACAAACAAACATACATATAGTGCCAAACAGACAAGCCATAAAGACAGCAGACATAGTGCAAACGAGTAAGCACAGTGCAAAAAAAAATGAAATAGATACACTGTGTGTGTTATTCTGCAGTTGATCAGGATAATCAATGAAGAGGTGAATCCATATTCCACTAATTTGTGTCCTATGCCGCAAACGTATAGCATCACCCGGCCTCATGAGGGCGCTGTACGTTTTTATAGGTTCTCGGTGGAACATGACGGCTGTTGGCGAGCCTCCATTGCCAGGTGGTCCTGTTCAGCTGCTCCCCACAGATTACATCACAGCTTATCGGCCACACAACAAAAAGCGTTTGGAAATTACAGCGTCTCCTTTCGGCTGGCTGCGTGGAAATGGGTTGCCGTGGCAACACGAGCCGGCACGCAATGCTCCTCCCCCGCCTGATCGGACGGGCCAAGAAGGGCTGGGCGAGTTCCTGTGGAGCCGGCATGTAGCGGCGGTTCTGGCTGCAGCGTGGGAGAGCTGGAGGGGACCTCATCAGTCACGTGTACACTGGCCTGTGATGCAGTCTTTTGGTGATGCTGTGTTTCTCAGTATGTGGATACAGCTTCTTTTTATGCCATTTTAACTAAAATTTGCATGTAACTAAGATCTGCAGCCACCATAACAGAAGCTGTGAAAAGCCCAGCAGGGTGTGTGTTTGGTTTTGGGTGTGGAGAGGGTCAGGGGAACGTTTCTCTGTCAGGTCTTCTGGGAGGTCCAAGGTCCCTCTGGACGGGAGCAGTGCCTCACACCTCTGGAGACCAGGGTTCGAATACGTGTGTGGGGTTTGCATCTTCTCCTCATGTCGTTGTAAGGTTTCCTCTGGCTTTTTCCGTTTCCCCAAAAAACATGTCTGTGTGTGCCCTGTCCTGGGTTATGTTCCTGTCCCTTTCCCGGGTTATGTTCCTGTCCCTGTTTTGTTCCTCTAACTTCCAGGATAGGTTCTAGACCCCCGCGACACTGCATAGGACAAGTAGCTAAGGCACATGAATGAATGGTACTGTATGATGTACTGTGTGTATTTGTGGCCCAGCTGGATTAAATTAATGGCTACTCTGCTCTTTAAAAAAGATGAGGCTGGGGCAGCTGGCCTGGTTTCTGTTGCGTGAAGGTGGCCCCACATTTGCTGTGGGCTGGTTGTGTGGCCACACCCCCCCCCCCCCAGGGTTGGAGGATTACCCCGTGGAGTGATTCTCCTACAGGACTCCCTCTCAGCTGCTCTGTGCCCTGACCACAAACACAGGTGGTTGTTTGCACAGAATTCTGGGAACAAATAAAGAAGCGCACCATGTTGACCATAAATAACTGAAGTGTGTAAGAATTATGGCGATGTGATGGCAAAGTGACCTTGAGGCTCTCATAGAGTCACATCTCTGTCACTGTAAGGCCTCGCCATCTGTCGTAGTAGAAGTGGTGGGAGCACACAGACTCTGATTGGAGGATTGTCATGGGGTGGGCGGGCTTGCCTCCGGATGTGATGCTATAGCTGTTTCTGTCTCCCTTCCTTTTCTCTGCTGCTTGTACTGTTAATGCTACTACTGCTACTATACTAGTAATGCTACTACTGCTACTATACTAGTAATGCTACTCCTGCTATGGTGGCTGTTAGCGTACCTGTTGCTAACATTACTGTTAATGCTACTTCTGCTATTGTTACTCTTAATGCTCCTGCTACTATCTATTGTTACTGTTAATGCTACTCCTGCTCTGGCTGCTATTAGGACAGCTGCTACTCACACTGCTGTGCCGTGTAGAGCTACGAAAGCACATGCTCGGGAGGCGGAGGCGTGACACAGCCGATTTGACCTTAGTAGAGGTGCACTGGAGAGCAAGAACTAACTCAAATCTGCTCTCACAAAATCATGGCATTTTTCACAGAGGCGGAGCCAATAGAGGCTATGGGAAAGCACCCAAAAATTTGATTGTTGATTGCTCCTCAAGTACCCCTGATCTTCATTGGCTCTGAGTGATGATGCTGATTGTAGAATGAGGGAAGCAGTTTTCCCAAACACATGTATGTGATGCAGCTATATTGCATGAATATACACTTTTACTAGTGTTTTCCTTTGTGCAGGCCTGGTTCCTATGTGGATATAGGGGGCTCAGTTGAAGTTACTTTGCTAACTGGTAGTTAGCTAGTTGGCAGGTAAAAACTCACCAACCTATCACATGCAATGAGGGCATGCACTCAGGGAAAGTCATTGTTGCATTTTGCTTTATATTATTGTGTTGTCCGTTTCTCTTTCTGTTAGAGGCAAGAAAGTACACCTTCTGCACTGATGTGAATTAAAGATAGCGTTACTAGACGGTGTTAACCTTCATAACCTTCATGGTTCTGATATTGTCCTATCTGGTAAATCTGGGGTGTCCAATCTTATCCGCAAAGGGCCGGTGTGTATGCGTGTTTTTCGCTGCAACTCCCTAATTAGATTGCTAATTAGAGGACTGATTGGCTGAAGAGTCCAATCCACACCTGGGTTTGAACAGCTGACCTACAGGTTATCCCAAAAACCTGCGTACACACCGGCCCTTTGCGGATAAGATTGGACACCCCTGTGGTAAATGAACTAAACCCCAAGTGTGAAGTAAGTATTGCAGAATGATGATGATTTTTCTTCAAAAGGAAGCGAAGTGCATGACTTACTCTTGGTCAAGGATTAGACCAAGAGTAAGTCATGCACTTCGCTCCCTCCCCCCAAGCAGATAGTAAATGGATGGATGCATGGACTGGTGGATAACTGGCTTTTCAGGATAAACACACAAACACCACACTATAAACATAATTGCTGTGTAATTTAAGGAAATGTTTTTTCGTTTGTTATTTTGTGCATTAAATGAAGAAATTGGTGACAGTTTATATTTTTTCAATTTGCTTGCCCCCGCTCCCCCCCAGAGGACCCACCTCTGATTTTTCAGTAATCGAAACTCATTTATGAGTACATACATTTGTATTATCTCACAGAAGTATCACAAAATTGCTTTCTGAATCATTTACTATGATTATAACATCAAGAATCTCGGTTTTGAAAAGACCCGTCATTATTTATGCACTTACGTGAGTCACAGCATGCCGTACAGTGAGTCAGCTCTCCTAATGGGGGGGGCTTGCAGGGAATGCGTACAGGTAGGTACCTTTACTTAGCCTATCACAAAAAACAAGAAACAGGAGAGAAGGAACACTACTTCCTGCTTTGGAGAACCTAAAAATAGGAAGACCAGTGAGAATTTTTTTTTTTTTCCCAGCTGATCAAAGCAAGACATTTGTTGAATGTTAATTTGCAGTCAGAGCTAGTAGCAGTACTCTAATGCATACATCATCACTGAGGCCTAAAATTGTGATGTGGTGTTTTGAAAGATGTAATGTCAGGGAATACGGCTCATATATTTGTCACAATTTAATATTTGAGGTTCTGCTTAAGCTAGGATGAGCATCATCTTCAGAATATTTTTACAAACGGTGATTTGACATAAAGAAAACGGGAACATAACTTTTGTTCTGGTCTTTGACAGTGAAGGATGTTATGTAGCTCGTGTCTTATTTGTCTAGCACATGCTTTTTCCTTAAGTGACATATAACTGAGACAGCAGGGTAAGCCGGTTCCTGGCCTGACCTGCCAGGCCACACCTCGCCTATATCAGAACGCATATTTGCGTTTGTTTCTGTGACTTGCAAAAGCTGTGTTGATGTTTAAAATCTGCAGAGGCTCCCGTCCTCTCAGTCATCCTGAATGCTGCTCCTTGTGCTTCCTGCGGTCATGGGAGTCCTGCGTATGGAGAACCTTCTCTTCTCCTGCACTGACCCTGGAACTTTCAGAAGGAAATCTGATCCATCGATAATTGCCACTTACCCATGGTACCAGCACAAAGCAGCTGGCCTTCGCAGCCACGGCTGCTGGAGTGTCTCTTCTGCCACACCATTGTACTCCTGTGGACAGTATCTTGTTTCAGTAAATTGTATAAATAGGGTTGTCCCTGTCATTGTGGTTCACAGTGTTAGCATTGTTCTGATTATAAGGGTTGTCATGGGTTGGGAAACTCAGTGTAAGCATTTGGTTGGCCCTCAGCTTCTCCTTCTCAGTTTATCCTTGTGTGTTGGCCTGCAGGTTAGGAGTTCAGCCGTGGTTTGAGGCTGTGTGTTAGACAATAACACATTACTGTACAGTCACACTGATGCTACAGTTGAGTGCCACTGGCTCATGGTAATTCTGCCTGGCGTGAAGTGTAAGGCCAGGTGTCTCTGAAGGAACAGCTCTTGTACAACCAGCAATGTGACAAGTGTGTGACGCACGTTCGGCTCTCTCCTCTGCTTCTCCTCAGACCTGATCCAGGCCACCAACGAGACCAACGTGAACATCCCACAGATGGCTGACACGCTTTTCGAGAGGGCGACCAATGCCAGTTGGGTCGTGGTCTTCAAGGCGCTGGTGACAACACATCACATGATGGTCCTCGGCAATGAGGTCAGTGTCACACCCAGCATAATCACACCTCTTTGGATAGTCTGGGTCAGACCAGGCTGTCTAGGTTCATTAACTGGTCCATTATTTCAGGCTGGTCCATCATCTTGGAGCTCTCTAGCAGAGGGTTGAGTTTCACCAGACACATTAAGCCGACTGTTTTTATTATTTAAAAATAGGTTTCTAAGAAATGGCCATTGAGCTTATCCCAAACACCGGTATACTGTTTGACATTAGTATGGCTGTTTCGTTTCTGCAGATGGAAAGACTGCAATCACATTATCATTGTTTTCGTTAATATCGCGTTAAAAATTAAAGAACGCAAAGTAGATATAGGCATGATATTGTTTCGCTGATCGCTCAGGATGAGGTAGCTGCAGCCACTGGGTCGGTACAGCAGCCAGACAGACGCTTCCTGGGGCGGATTATGTGTGAAGATGGTTTCTTTGGCTCACAGCTGCACTGCCGAGACCCGTCACGGCCGGCTGATCTCTGACCACCAAGTTCATGGTGTCATGCCAATAGGTGACCCTACCACTAACGGCTATTGCCTGTCCTGCATTTCACGTGTAAAAAACCAACTCAGCGCTGTCCGCTTGGGCGGCATCTCATTTTTCATACCGTCCAGACATTATACGTCGGGATTTTGGCGGTATTTTCAAGAGCAGCAATGCTTTGGTACGAAAAAATTTGCCAAGCTGGGGGCGGAATCCCCCGTGGTAAAATTCGCAGAGGGAATATGTTTCGCCAGACAGCAAATTTAATCTGGGGGGGGGGATGCACCCTGCTTGGATAATTTTGTTACCAAGAATTCAAAATACCAAAAGTATACTATATTACCGTAATAAGCATACACTGCAGTAGCATTCAAGTATTTGGGTTACGGGGGGGAAATTGTCAATTTTGCGTATTATTCATACATTTATTTTGACTAAATGATCTTACGTTGTTTGTTTGTTCGGTGAAAAGCGACACATCCAGCTTTCTGCTCATATTTCACGGTCACACATCACAGATTGATGATGTGGTTGCAAAAATCACAGGTGGACATCATTGGTCAGAAGCCTCTGTGGGCGAATTGGCTATTTGCTGACAGACAGCCCGGGTGAAACCTAATGGGACCCGGAAAGTAAACAGTATGAACTGGATTGTCGAAATGCAGGGTGGTCTCTCCTACCGTGGCCTGGAAAGCCCCGTTTTTCTCTGCCTTAATCTTCACCCTAACCTCTGTGCATGTTGAGTGCACGCTGTGCTCTGTACGTGCTGTTCTCTGTACGTGCTGTGCTCTGTACGTGCTGTGCTCTGTACGTGCTGTGCTCTGTACGTGCTGTGCTCTGTACGTGCTGTGCTCTGGGCCTCAGAATGATTCTTTACTCACGGATTTGGGCGTAATTAGCAGGTCTTGCAGCAAAATGCATTTTGGCTGCACTACAGGAGCCCAGGTGACTGAGATTAAAGTCGGAGGCTTTGGAAACGTCCTTCTGGGGAGACCCTCACTGTCCGCGTGGCCATCTTTGTCCCCGACATTTTCACATTAAATGTAAACAAGTCATACAATTGCTTAAATTTAAGGGAATAAGCCTAACACTAAGATTATTACTTTATTCTCTGCAGAATATGGCTGACATGCCCACCTCTCCAAATTAAATTTAGCCATGGTGTGTCAGCAAACCTGGGAGACTCTGATGATATAAATGTTTTATGAAATGATTAATACCCAGAATCAAACATCAGTAAGATATTTTGCCTGTAAGTTGTGTATCTGCATGTGACAGCATGTCCGTTCGGGCCCCGAGTCACAGCTGTTTTTCTTAAACGTTATTTTGCTGTTTTCTTGCTGATAATAGCTCTGTTATCGAAGCTCCTAGCCTGTTTCAGTTTGGGCCGACAGGCTCATATCTCAGATCTGAGCTCAGATCAGAGTCCTGTCCTTTGCAGTCTGCGACTCTGTGACTCCATGCTGAAGGAGGGCCAGTTTAATTCCATGTGGGTGTCTGGGCACATCGCTGTCCGGACGTCCTTCACCAGCCCCTTGGGTGCCGGGGCTGCTGTTTGCCAGAAGATTCTCCTCGCACGCCCTGTCTGTTTGGCAGCATACAGTGAATATGCCCCTGCCAGCCCATCAGTGCAGGACTCGTCAGTTGTCAGCCAGGGAGCTCCTGCGGACAGCCTGGGGTGGGATACCTGCCACAATGCATGCTGGGAAGGCAGTGCTCCCCCTAGTTCGAGAATACTGCCCCACAAAGGCAACACACAGTAACTGCACATTTTATCAAAATTGTGACAAACAATCTTTGCTCAGCTATGTGTGCTTTTGAATATCTACAAAATCCACACTAAAACCAAGGAGAAAATCAATTTTCTTAGACTGAGCCTTAGTGTAGTTACTGTGAAGGATCGACACTAAATTATTGATTAAAATATTGAATGTTTCATTTTGAGAATTGACTCTCGCGTTAAAATATTGATTTTTTTAATCTGGTAATTTAAATGTTTATATTATAGACAGTAGTGAAAACAGAAACAAAATCAGTGGTAATACGCATCCTTCGTTACTGTGTTTTGACTTTGTAGGGCAGAATAGTGCTCTGGTTGAGACCTGATCCATTTGTTCTGCATGCTCCATTTCTGCAGAGATTCATCCAGTACCTCGCCTCCAGGAACACTCTCTTCAACCTCAGTAATTTTCTGGACAAAACCGGCTCCCATGGTGAGTAAGGCATGCTCACTAAATAAGTTTGACCCACGTTTCACGTGCTCCAGATATCTATTAATTGATCAGCAGCCTGGTTCCCCACTAGGAAAACCCTAAAGTCTCGCGGCCTCTTGGGGGTCTCCTGTTGTGCCCTACTCCACCATCCATGTGTTGGTCTCCTCTTCCAGGCTATGACATGTCTACCTTCATCAGACGCTATAGTCGCTACCTGAACGAGAAGGCATTCACTTATCGGCAGATGGCCTTTGACTTCGGCAGGGTGAAGAAGGGGTATGTCAGCCTTCGTCACGGGGGTGGGCTTCTGGGCCAGCAGGTACCCAGACGGCTGCTCACTAAGAAGCGATGAGCGACGCACGCTGGGTTATTGTTCGGCCAACACAGCCGCTAATCTCGGGCTAACCTGGCATGGCTGCCGTTTGGTTTGTCTCATCTCGCGTCAGAGTGACAAGCTGCTTTCTCCCAAGCTCTGGAGCTGACTTGGCTGTCGGGCTACTGGCAAAGACACGGGGGTGGGGGCTCAAATAATGTTTACCCACAGTGGGCGGAGTCTGACTGTAGATCAGAGTGATAAACTGGTACAAGCGCAGGGAACGAGGTGTAAAGGCAGTAACCCCACGCTCCTGATTTCTGCCGTTTCCCTCACTTGTTTGCCTACATCCCAGTGCCGATGGAGTGATGAGGACCATGACCACGGAGAAGCTTTTGAAGGGAATGCCGATTCTCCAGGGCCAGATCGACGCCCTGCTGGAGTTCGATGTGAGTGAAATCACAGTGTTTTACATGATGGGGACGCACGGCCAATAACGAATAGTGCCAGTCTGCTTGTCAACACGACCGGCAAGCGCTGTCACCTGCCGGTCATGATTACCGGTTTCCATAGCAACTGGTCAACGTGCCGTGGTTGTAAATTCCGACAGCGTAAATCCCCAGTACAAATCCAGTAAATATAACTCTTAGTGGCCCACAAAATACAGTCCAATTCTGTGTGTTTTAAACTTTATTCAGCAATAACATCGGGCATGTTATTAAATATGGGAGAATTCATTGCGGATGCATAAAGCTCTTGCTGGAATTGATCACGTTACTAAATGGATCTTCCATGTCTACACATTGGGCAAGATGAAGCCTCCCCCTCTCCCCCCTGACAGGTCCATCCTAACGAACTTGTCAATGGAGTCATCAATGCGGCCTTTCTCTTGCTCTTCAAAGACCTAATTAAGCTCTTTGCCTGCTATAACGACGGGATCATCAATCTGTTAGGTGAGGATTCCCCAGTAAAAGCTCATTTGTAGTATAATGACACCTTTTCTGCACATTCATGGATGAGCTTAAGTGGCTTCATGTAGGCTATTCAGTCAGTTCAGGGCATGTAAATAACTGATGCTCAATGCCACTGCTCCAACAATTAAACTAACTACACCTCTGCTAAATAGCATGAATTGAAATAATGTGTGATTATATATGATATGCTTTTGCATAATGGTATTTTTTTTTTTTTGTTCTTCGTACAACAGAGAAGTTCTTTGAGATGAAGAAGGGCCAGTGCAAGGACGCTCTGGAGATCTACAAGCGCTTCCTGACACGGATGACTCGCGTATCCGAGTTCCTCAAGATCGCTGAGGTGCCTGATGGCTGAGCCCAGGCTCTGGGTTCAAAATGACGAAGGCTGTCTAGGTTTGACCTCTAACATGCTCTCTCCCTTTCAACAGCAAGTCGGAATCGACAAAAACGACATTCCCGAGCTCACTCAGGTCAGCTCCACTGAAAACAGTCGCCTTTTATTGTAGATCCTCCTCTTTCATGATGCTTCTACTAACATCGCTTGTGTGTGTTTGGTGTCGTCCAGCGTGTGTGTGCATGCTCTGTGGCCAAAGCCAACTCCCAGACTCCCTATATCTGAGGTCCTGACCAATTGCGATTCGTTTTCCCGTGGCAGCCCTAGCCAATCGCAGACATCCATGGTGCAATTCACAGGTCATCCTATCGTCTCGCTTTGTTCCATCTGGGGCGGATCCCATGGTTCCATTGTGTCCTCTCTGCACTCTCAACCAGGTGATTGACAGCTACTCTGCCCATTCTCTTCTCACTTCCAGAGGTGCAGCTTGATCACACAGGCTGAGAGTGTGAGTAGTGCATAGACGGTGCATTCCGCATTTTGGGATAGCCAATGAGGGGGCATCTCTCAGGGTCCCAGTCACAGATATGCACACGTGATACCCCTCCTGTCCAGAGCAGTGCAGGCCTCACTGGACCGGGATGTGACTGGGGGATTTTCTGGGATATCGCTCCACTGCAGGACAATGTATATTCTAAGATGTGGACCAGTGTGTCCCAGTTCTCTGGAATCTTCCATACGTCTGTAGAGATTCTATAATGGACCAATCTGCCAGACCCGCTGCAAGGTGTGGAGGTCCAGCTGGTGCTGCTCTCCCAAAGAGCCTTAGCCGCAGTGGTCCGACATTCTGGAAGCCCCACAGAAGGTGGGGTCTGTTGTCTTGCACTGAAGCATGCACTGAAGCTCCCCCCCTCAGGGCAAGGCCATGGGCTTCACTGGTAACGGGGGCTGAAGCTGGGGTTTGGGACTGGGGGCTGAAGCTGGGGGCCAAGGCTGAGGGAATTTGCATGGAGTGCTGAGGGACAGAGGTAGGCGGTCTCTGTGTCTGAAATGGTCTACATATACTACCTATAGATCTGATATGGTCTACATATATCACCTATAGACCTGATCTGGTCTACAGTACATTAAACCTGTCTATAGACCAGATATGGTCTTCATAAAACCTGTCTATAAACATGGTGTGGTCTACATATAAAATCTATATACCTGATATAGTCTAAATGAAAACTGTCTATAGACCTGATATGGTCTACATTAAACCTGTCTAAAGACATCATATGATCTTCATATCTCCTGTCTGTAAACCCAATATGGTCTATATATCCCTGCCTGATATGGTCTTCATATCTTCTGTCCATGAAGCTAATCTGGTCTGTGTATCCCCTCTTTATAAACCCAGTATATTTCATATAACCAATCTATAAACATGATACAGTCTTCATACCAAAACCTGTGTAAGTACTTCTCGGTATGAATGACTAGTGAACTCGGTTCAGAACTCAACATTCAGACAGGGTTGGGGGAGGCCTCACTCCAGGAGTGCCAGGAGCCGGGGTGTCAGACATATTCGTCGGCTCAAGTACCAGACAACAACTACTGCGGGACTTCAGGGACCAGCTGTGTGACCAGGCTGCGGATTCCAGGGCCAGGAATCTGTTATTTTCTCGAGAAAGGCGACTTATAAGAACTGTAAACTGCATTGGGTTAAAATGTCTGTAAAGCGACTAAACGTAATAAAATGCAGGGCAGCAATCAGACAGAGGAAAAGCTGCTCCGAGGCTCTGGCCGGAACAAGGACCTTTGCACCAGCCGTTTTTGGGTCACCATTCTGAGAACGGTACCCTTGTGAGAGGATATGGATGCCTGCACTCCGCGTTCTGTGTCGTGCGGCGATGGTAGCCAATAAATGGTCAGCTTGCTCTCACCTACGGAAAGCAAGTTGGGGGGGAGAGCATAAAGGCGTAAATTTCTCCCTCCGGGATCAATAAACTATCAATTAAATGGTGATTGTGGAAATGAGAGATGGTCTTCGGCTTATCCTAAGTCAGATAGTCCTGGGCAGACCAACATGACGGCACAGGAAAACCTAGGGGTGACGTATATTAATAATTTTTGACTGCTTTTTGACTGGTGTCCAGTGCTGATGGTGCACTTCATACAGTGTGGGCAGCAGTATGGCCCTCATCAATATGTGTGGTGACTGCATCTTCCAGGGTTTCTCTGTCGTATTCCCGGCGTCTTCTGGGATCTCCCTGTCCTTCATTGTTCCCTGAGAAAATTGGCAGCATAAAAGCGATAATGAAGTAGTGACCGTGACTAATTTGACGTTTCGCAGTGATTCTGGGATTTTTTTACACGGACAAAGCGTGTTTGGCTACGCCGCTCTGCTGCATTTGACTCCCAACGCATGTTTGGGTCTGATGCGTCTCTGTGTTGTTCCTGGGTGAGCATGCTGCATTGCATTATGGGCAGTGAAGTGGGACGCTTTGGCGTTTACGTTTAAGCATGGGCATGTATTTACTGTGATAAAAATCGGAAGCCTTGCGCTGAAATTAGCGGTTCTGAGTTGAGCTGTATTCCTTTATTTCTGATCTCTCTTTTTAGCTCTGTTGTTGTATGTCCCCTCCCTGTATCTCCTAGCTGTGCATTGTCTAGTGGCCCCTCCTGATAGCCTCTGTTTCTTCTGCAACACTCCTTATGTGTCTCTTCCCTAGTGTGATGACATTTTTGCCTCAGGCCCAGTGATGCTAATATGTTTGCTCCCGCTCTCTTGTCTGATTCATTATTCTTGTGATGCTAACCTTGATGGCCTCAATTCCTGTTGTAATGTTATCACTATCATTATAACCTTTTGGACCTTGATTTCTGTTACAATTCGTTACCGCTATCCTGCTATTCGTGAAGGCCTTCATATCTTTTGTAATTTGTTATCGCTGTCATGCTAACCTTAATGGCCTTAGTTTCTGTTGTAATATGTTATCATTATCATGCCAATCATAAGGGCCTTGATTTCTGTTGTAATATGTTATCGCTATCATGCTAACCTCGAGGGAACTGATTTCTGTCATAATTTCTTGTTCCTCTGATGCCAACCTTTAGGCCCGAATCTCTGGTTTACTTATGGCCCTTGTGTTGCTTGTTTTTAGGCACCTGAGAGTCTCCTGGAATCACTGGAGACACACCTGAACACACTGGAAGGGAAAAAGGGGTAAGTGGTGCTAAGTGACTAAACTGTCAAAGGAAGAGACCTAAATTAAAATTGAATCAAATTAAGAATGTATAAAACTTAAATTTCTAAAATATAGACTTTACATGTAAGTTCATGTTAGACCATAAACACAACTTCAATAGCAGAGGATAGTCCAAAGCTGGCATTGAAACTTGTGGGTCATATACGCTTTTCATGTATTAGAGGTGAAACTTCATCCTCAGTAATGGTCTGTTTCAGCATAATTGGTTGGTGAGGAAAGAACTGGCTCTGAAAATAGTAGCAGCAGTTGTGAGGATGTGCTGAAGGATCACAGAGATAAACCTTTGGAAAATGAACAAATAAATTAAATTACATTTAGATTTTTTAGTTACAGGTAATGAGTGTCTATCCAAGTAGTGGCCATTGCAGATACCAGGTGCAGGAAAGGAAAAAGGGATCTGATTACCGAGTGAGAATAGTGGAGATCCCAATACTGATCCATGAGGGACACCCATGGAGAAGGGTAATGGTGACAAGCAGTTACTTGGCCATTTGCTTGAAAGTGGAGGTCAGGCAAGTGTAAGTGAAGAAGATAGGCCCTCCAAACTATTTTCCCAAAAGCACGTTCTCATAATTGAACATGAATTTTCACAAATTGTATTCATAATTACTGTGTATTTTAAGAAAATATGTTTATTTTTTATTTTGTGCTTTTAGTAGAAAGAAGTGGGTGAGATTTTTCCTCTTTGGATGCCCCCCCTCCCCATTTTAACTATCCCCCCCTTACCCCTCCTTAAAAAATTATCTGGAGGGGCCACTGTCCCACAGCACTGGAAGGAGGAAATGAGGGTTGAATGATTATATGCATATATGTGTGAAATATATGCATATTTAATGTAAGTGCTGAATGTAAAATGTTCTCAGATCAGAAGGCTTAATTTATAGTGAGTTGTGCAGTGCCTTGCAAAAGTAGTCACACCATTCAATATTACAGTGTTTAGTTACAAATAATATTTACATATGCAAGTATCTCCTGTTTTACGAATGTTCGCGTTACGCTTCACAGAAGACCTACATTAGCACCTGTTTTCACTAACTGAAAGAAACTCAGAGGTTTTTTGCTTTTACGAAAAAAGGAGAAAAGCAAAAAGACTTTAGCATTGGTTTATCGCGATAATAGACATACGATCATGGGTCACATAACATTTTGGTCAACGACAGACTGCATATATGACGGCAGTCCCTTAAGATTGTAATGAGCTGAATTCCTATCACGTCGTAATGTTGCAGCTGCCATAGTGCAACATATTATTCACGTGTTTGTGGTAATGCTGGTGTAAACAAACCTACTGTGTTGCCACAATGTAAATATTAAAGGATAGCACCTACAATTGAAGTCAGTCCTGCTACAATGCAACTAACGCGTTCCTGAAAAATCTGGCATTCACTAAAGTCGCATATGTAAATACACATATCTAATGGAAAAAACAGGGTTGAGGGAATGCGACTCCAAAACTTAGTAATTTACGCCAAATAAAATTAATTCAGTAAGTTCAAGAGTGATACCAGTGGCCAACAACATAATTATATATATTTTAAATAAGAAATAATAATACATTAATAAATGATATCATAAACACCTCCTAATGGGCCTTATGAGTCGCGTGAGGATGGTCTAGCAACCGCTTCAACTAAACGTGACGAACTCCCTAACTTGTCGAACTGGGAGTAGTGAGTCACAGTCACCATGTGACCGGGCATTAGGAACACTACTATCTTAAAGCAGGAGATACCTGAATACCTATTTACAGAGATGTTTACCAGATGGTTGAGTGCTCCAACTTAAAGGAAATGTCAGCAATGAATCAAGTAACAGAGTCAAGCAAAAAGTCCTTGTCCTGTTCAGATGTGAGGTTTTTGTTCAGTCTGTCTGTGCTCCTGTCCATCTTTCTATCAATCATGAGAAAATGATGAGAAGCAGCTGCATTACATAACAGTCATAATCATGCTTGTCGCATGGATGTTTTAGCTATGTGGTTGGGAACATCTCCGAAACGCAGGGTTTGAGATGAATCAGTTGCTCACCTGTCAGCTTCGTCGGCTTGGTCATGATGTCGCCTGATGACTCACGTCGACTGCCATCCTCATGTGTCTTTGACCTTGCGGCTCTTCGTAATTCATTCTCGGCCTGAGCTGCCCTCGTTACCGACTGGTGTCCTCGTCCTTCGTCGTTAAAGCTGCATGTCACAGCACAGGACAGGGACCTCAGGGCAGGGGACGCCCGGGGGAAGGAGCTGAACATCGATGCCTTTGCTTAGAACCTCCGCGTTAGGAAAAAACATTAGTGTTGAAATTGCTGAAAGCTCTGAAAGAGCAAACTTTGCGTTCAAATGAAGAGGGTTGCTATCTTTTCAAGGCACTGTGACACCATGTGTGCTGAAGCGCTCCAGACGACTCTTAACTCTGTTTCTTTGTTCTCTGTCCTGTTCGTTTGAACGCACAGGGAGGGGTAAGTATTCTCCTTCCGCACTCTCTATCTAGGGCAGTGTTTCCCAACCCAGTCCTCAGGGAACCCCAGTTCATGTTTTTGCTCCCTCCCAGCTCACAGAAATGTGGACTGCCTGGCAGGGAGCTGGGAGGGAGCAAATACACGGACCCACTGGTGGACTCCGAGGACCGGGTTGGGTACCACTTGGCTTTGCTGCTGCATTTGTCCTGTTGAAGAATGTAACCTCATAGACTCCGGACACTAATTCCGTGGTTTCACTGGGCGCAGCTATAGCCAACATGTAACGTCTGTGGGAACCATGTCAACCTGGAAAATGAAAAATTCTTGCTCCTATTTGTTGGCCACATTCTGTGGACGACATTGTTCGCTCTGACCGAGGCTAACGGTGTTCCTTTCTTTGCAGCTCCCCAGGCAAGGTGAGTCAGAGACCCCGAATCACTGGCCTCCCGCGTCGTCCTGCGACACGTGCCAAACCGCAGTGCCGTACACCTGCATGGCGAGGTGGTGAAGTGGGCACCCCAGTGACCCTCTCTGTATGTATGCCAGGGCTCTCCCACCAAAAACGGCTCTCCGGCTACCACCCCGGCTAAAGCCCCCGATCAGGCTGCTGGTCCACCGGCTGAGGCTTTTTCCACCCCCCCGGCCAATGCCGCCACCTCCGCTGCTCCAGCTGCTCCATCTGCCTCCACGTTAGTCGTCTCACGTCGTGCGAGAATTTCAAGCGTAACCATGTGTGACAAATCGTCCAGGCACTGGAATGAAAAAAAAACACACACTGCAGAAAAATATCTGACCCTTCCATTCCGCACTGTAAGCATGACCCCAGAAAATCCTCTCGGGGAACACCTGGGCACCCCCGGAAGGCAGCTCAGAAAGCAGACTTTTATTATGAAAACAGTTTTGCCCCTTCAGTCCACAGTGAGGTGCAAAACAGAGGCAGACATTTATCCAGGAAACAGTATGAATAAACCAGGAAATATCCACGTAGGAAATGTATAATCTGGTTTGAAAGTGAATAACAGATTATTGAATGTTTATAAACATTAAAGCTGCCTATCTGTATTTTGTATACTTTTAAGAGAAAAATGGCCTAAATGAAACAGGACTTGATTTTTACTTTGTTTAAAATGAGGACAGGGATGCCAGGTTATATCGACATCCTCACCAGGATTCTGAAACCAATGTTGAACCTTTAACCAGGTCAATGATGTAGATGTTGAGCCATCAGTGTTTTAGTCACCCTCAACCTCTCTCCCTCTCTTGCTTCCTGGGTTTTTCTGCAGTGCGCTATCCAATGACCTCCTGGATCTGGACCTCTTATCTGCCGCACCACAGCCGGCTGGAGCAGCTGCTGCAGCCCCAACCACAACCTCCTGGGGAGGTAGGCAAACCTTCCACTCCCTGAGCTTTAATGGTCTTTGGAGAGGGTCTAATTGGCTGGGACAGCTGCCACTCAAAGTGTAACTGACCTATCAGATGGAGGGAATAGCATCTCGCTACAGCATTTCAGTTTTTCTCATACAGGCATCAACATCTATAAACCCCCCTTGCTCCTGAGTGCATGCAAGATAGATTGCCAGCAGATGATGAAACATCCCATTATTCAGCTGCCTTGGCTGCTATGGCAAATTCTTAAAGTTGCAAATGTTGGATATAACATTTTTTAAAGAAACAAAAAAACTCAATGATGAGTTAAAGAACAAGTTGGCTCAGTAATGTGTAACAGCAGTATAACTTACAAACTTCTCATTTATACATGACTCTCTCCCATGCTGCACTGCTGTTTATCACAGATCTTCTGGCAGGTGGTAAGTGAACAGCGCCCCCTATAGGACTTTAGTAGACACAGACGCCGCTCCTGCAGGCTGAAACTTGCACTGCAGCTGCTGATTACTTGCTGATCACTCGCCTGGATATTTCCCATGTCTGTTACTCTGTGGTTTTGTGCTTTGTGGTGTTTCTTTGATCCACCTGGTCTGAGGGGTCTCCATGTCTTTTGGCCCCTCTCTGCTTGTCTGACGGGGATGCTTGCGGGGGGATGGTGGCCCGCAGATGCCCTGGGTGCCCCAGCCGCCCCCGCTAGCTCAGAGGCCCTGCTAGCTGAGCCCTCCCTTGCTGGAGACTCTGCTCCCTCTGCGGCCGCTCCCGCCGCTGCCTCCGCCTGCGAGGCCACACCGGCGTCTGCCGCCCCAGCCGCTCCACCTGCCACCTCTAGCAGCTCTGACATGGATCTTTTTGGAGGTCAGTTGAGCCTCTGTGAGCAGGTCCTTCCTGCTGGCCCAGCTCGTGTCCGCAGACCACACTTAAGACCGCAGTGCCCGGACACTCGCAGTATCTCTCTGTCACCTTTACAGTTAATTGCGCCCTTATTTCACCGCCGTGGCTCATAGGTGACACAGAGCTGACGGACCTTCAAACAGCAGAGCTCCTGCTCCGGTCCCAGTTCTGTGTCCAGATGAAGCTTTCTGGTGTCGGCTCTTAAAGGTCATCTGCCCCGATGAAAGCCCTCAGAGATGCTTCAGAAGCTGTCCTCTTTAGATTGCTGATCTAGCTCCTATGATGCCTCAGGGCTGGCTAGTTGTCTTCCCTCTAAAGCTGGAACTCCATCCCCATGGAGTCCAGCTCCACTCTGTCAGCTTGGCTGCCGGTCTCCATCTCAGAAACGTGGAACCTGCTTTTGTCTGGATGGACACTCTTAGAAGTTTGATCTCCTGACTCGTTATTCTGTCTCCTGCTCTGCACCGATGCCTGCTGCTCCCCGGCGTTCCCAGACGCATTCGCGGCCTCTCCAGGTGACGGTCCGGGTGCCTCGGAGTGCGGGGCTGCGGCCGCTACGCCCGTCCCTGCTGCAGATGCATGCGCTGGATCCGGTGGGTGACGAAACAGCCTGCGCGTGAGTGCGCGTGTGTCTGTGACAGTCAGCTCAGTCGACCAGGCGCATTATAAGGACTCTCCATGGGGACAGTAGTTCAGGGGCCCAGGACCCCGTAGACCCCCCCCCACCACCTCACCTACCCCCCCGCTCATTCAGTCCAGCCTCCTTCTCCAGTCTTGTCACCTGAGGTATTCACCTGGTGAATGTTCAGGTAGTGCCCAGCTGGACTTACTTTGTTTTATTTTGAAAACTTTACCACGATATCATCCTGATTCATCATTGACCTTTTGCAAGTACTATGTGAAGGGGGGGGGGGGGGAGGCAGGGGGGGGGGCCCACCAGTCATGCAAGTGTGTCCAGGTTAATTACTGAATTACTGCATTTATTTTATAAAAATGCTCATGGAGCTCTGGTGGATACAAAGGCATAGAATTGATCGATCGAGACCATAGAATAGTTTTTAATTTTCATAATTTCTTTGCAACATTAACTTTAATCTGCACTGAAGCTGCTGGCAAAACCTTCAGAGTCAAACATAGATTAAAGAAATCTTCCCAAGAATTACTGCCCCGCAGATAGGTCCCCCCAGTCTTAACATTAATGGTCTCAGGAAGTATGACTTCTCTTCTGTTTTTCTTTACCAATGTGGTCAGTGTCCGGAGGTTTGCTGGCTTCCTGAGGCTCCAGGCTTGCTGGCTTCTTGAGGTTCTAGAGTTTCTGGCTTCCGGAGGTTCCAGACTTGGTAGCCTCTTGAGGTTCCAGGCTTACTGGCTTCCTGAGGTTCCAGACTCGCTGGCCTCCTGAGGTTCTAGACTCACTGGCCTCTTGAGGTTCCAGACTTGCTGGCTTCCTGAGGTTCCAGTCGTGCTGGCCTCCTAAGGTTCCAGACTCGCTGGCTTCCTGAGGTTCCAAACTTGCTGGCTTCCTGAAGTTCCAGACTTGCTGGCTTCTGGAGCTTCAAGGCTTGCTGGCTTCCTGAGCTTCAGGCTTGCTGGCTTCCTGAGCTTCAGGCCTGCTGGCTTCCTGAGCTTCAGGCTTGCTGGCTTCCTGAGCTTCAGGCTTGCTGATTCTACCTCTATTCACTGTGTAACTCCCTCATTTCCCTTTAAGACCCCTTCGCGCCTTCTGAGGGTAGTGCAGAAGTGGCTCCCGAGCTGGACCTCTTTGCAATGAAGCCCACCGACACCAGCCCCGCCGTAGTAGCCCCCAGCAATAGTGCCGCGCCGAACTCCACCCCCGCAGCTGTCCCTGCCGCCCCCACTCCGCTCACGACCGCCGCTCCTGCTCTAGATATCTTTGGTGGTAATGCCCTCGTCCTGTTTCGTTTGAGCTATCCGCATCTATGATCAGATGAGCTTAACCCTGCATTATTTGGTTTTCTTTAAGCCAGTTTTCATCTGTTCTAAGCCTACGGCTCAGGTGTAGAGACTGAATCAAGGCATTGACCCTTCCCTCCAAATGGTAAACTCTGTTTTCTGTTAGCTGTGCTGGCAGGCAAGACCCTTTTAAATAACTAACCAGCATAACGACTACCCTGATTAGAAAAGCTAGACTAACATAGGTATTTAACTAACACACAAACTGGACTAACTTCCCAGTTACAGAAACACATGAACTGCTCTAAACCATCAGTTAGACTTTTCTCTGATTGGACAAGCCCACTAATTAAACAAGCCCTCTTATTGGACTAACCCACCAAACAGACACCTACTGTATAGGACTAATAGAAATTGATAATAACAATGGCCATTTGGGGGTGAGTTTGGCCTTCAGGTTTTGATTCAATCCCACCCTGGCTGTCCTGGCTGGAGGAAGGGAGAGATGGTGAAGGCAGTTCCCTCACCTTCCACCCTGCACATCCTCCTTTCCTGTGAATGAAGGGATTCTGCACTGCTCCTGTTATGCTTAATATGTTTGACTTAAAAAAGATTCATCTGAGGATTGATTCTTTTTTTTCACCTTAGCTTGGATTGTTGTGCCCATTGCCTGTTTCCGGCTATGCCACTGATTGTGTTTGTCCTTGTCCATAGATTTGTTTGATTCTATGCCCGAGCAAAGTTCCTCCACAGCTTCCAAACCAGATGCTACTTCTAGCATAGACCTATTTGGGGCAGGTACAGGAGATGACTACTTCTTTTGTTCGTAACTCTTGTTTCTCACCCTCCACCACCCGTTTTCTCCATGCGTCCTCGTTTGTCCCTGCTCTGGAACGCGCCTTCTGCATGCCTAGTCAGAGAAGTGCTGCTTTCTCTCTCTCCCTCTCCTGCTGTTTCACGCTCCTGTTTGCTCCCTGTCCCCCCCTTTCCCCCCGGAAGACTTGCCCGCTGCCTCCCGTGGGCCTTCTCCTCTTCCTGAGGCCAGTCTGACCACTGATCTCCTGTCTGGTGAGTCTGCTCACCCTTCCTCTTCGGAGGGCTAATGGCCATCCTCTTTCTGCGATGCTGCCCTTTGCAGATGGTGGATGCTGTCTTGCCTGCTTCATGTGCCCCTGAAGGCCTGGGCCCCGAAGGGCCACTTCCTTACTTTCTTTGACATGTTACGAGTGACAGGCTCCATGTCTGGGTGTGTCTGCTGATTCTTTGTCTTCTGACTCAGACGCATTCTCCACCCCTGCTCCGGCCCCAGTGTCTGCTGCTCCTGCCCAACCCAGTGGGGGTGATGTTCTAGACCTGTTTGGGGGTTAGTATCACATGAAACATGCAAGAGAAACTCTCTGTCCCTGTGCCTAACTATCCTCTGACCTGATATTTCACTGTGGATTGGTTGGTTCTGCCCAAACAGATGCCTTTGGTCCAACTGGTTCAGAGAGCCAGCCAGCTGCCCCTGGAGCTCCTGCTACAGATCTTCTGGGAGGTAATTACCTAGAATATTTCATATGGATGACCTAGACTGTCTGTACCTCACACTGTCTGTACCTCACACTGTCTGTAACTCGCACTGTCTGTACCCATACCTCACACTGTCTGTACCCCGACCTCTCACTGTCTGTGCCTCACACTGTCTGTACCTCACACTGGCTATACCAAGACCTCACACGGTCTGTACCCAGTCCTCTCACTCTCTGTACCTCGCTCTGTCTGTACCCAGACCTCTTGCTGTCTGTGCCCAGACCTCTTGCTGTCTGTGCCCAGACCTCTCAGCCTGTAACTCACACTGTTTGTCCTTCACACTGTCAGTTACCAGACCTCTCACTGTCTGTACCTCTTATTGTCTGTACCCAGACCTCTCACTGTCTGTACCTCTCACTGTCTGTATCCAGACCTCTCACTCTGTACCCAGACCTCTCACACTTCCTGTACCCAGTTCTCTCACTGTCTGTACCTCACACTGTCTGTACCCAGACCTCTCACGGTCTGCACCTCACACTTCCAGTCCCCAGACCTTTCAGTCTGTACCTCAAACTGCCTGTACCCAGACCTCACACTGTCTGTACCCAGACCTCTCACTCTCTGTACTTCATACTTCCTGTACTCATACAACTCACCATCTCTGTATATGTTCCTCCCTTACCAGAGCTGATGACACCAACCCCAGTTCCTGTCGCATCTCCAGCCCCTGCGTCCACTGCAGCCCCAACTCTGGGCCAGGACAACCTCCTACAGTCTGGTTTTGATGCTTTTGGTTCCACAACGAACCCAACACCAGTCCCAACTGCACCCTCTAGTGGTTTTGATGCAACAGGTAGGTTACCGAATCTTCTAATCTTCTTAATCTCACGTCAGCCTTCAAAGTGTTTGGCTAAGATTCGGCGTGGAAATGTAGCTCTTTGTCAGTTTAATAGTAATCATTTAATCACTGAGATGCATTTTAAAGATGAGATGCAATTCACATTTTATTACCTGTTTTTTTTACCTCACTTGGCATATTTTTTTTCAATTTATGTCATTTTAAACTGCTAAGTTCAGCGGTTTGTTTCAATCTGAATTTCATTGCATACTAATATGCAATAACAATAAAAAAGATGTAATCTAATGTAATATTATGGGCTGGGTTTAACAGGGGCTGTTTATTATACAATAGTAATGTCTGAGTATGCCGGGTGTTGTCAGTAGAGTACTGGTTATGGGCTGGGCTTTACTCGAGCTACTAGTATAATACTGCTTATGGGCTGAGATTAAGTAGGGCTGCTGCTGGAGTTCTAGTAATGGACTGGGTGTATCTGGGAGGGTACAGCAAGAAAATGGACGGGCCCTGAGGTTAGGAGGGGGGTTCACTGTTGTTTACCAGGGTACTACAGTGTATTATGGGTAATGGCCACTGCAGGTAGCAACAAGAGAATCACTGACAAGGTGTGTCTATTGTGGTGTTCGATGGATCTCCAGAAACGCTACTGTCTCACAAATGCTACCAGACATGTTTCCTGTTCCTTATGCCGGGAATGTGTGCCATTCCCAAACGGAAAACAACATTTATAACGGCATATTCTAGGACCCATTGATGTGATCTCCCATACTTACATCTGTAGATAGATCGGATTTCGGCTCGGATTACAACTTAGGCTAACTAAATTTGACTACTAGTCTTCTAAAAATAGCTTGCTAGCTTATGCTGAGTGCCACCTCACTTAGCAACAGGACTAAGTAGGTCATTGGTTAAGCGGAGCGTTGTTTATCCATCCAAGACCACAGCAGAAGCTCCAGTCCAGCAAGCAGCCCAAAGCAGCAAGCAATGCTGGCAGATGGAATCAGTGCTTTTCTATTCGCTGTATGGTGGAGGCATCGGCCCCTGACTGTAACCGAATAAACCGTCATTGAGCAGACTGTGTAGGGAATGGGACATTGATTTGGGAGGAAGCCCACGTTGGGCGCCTGCCTGTCCGGGACGTAGGCAGCAGCTGTGCACTCGCCGTCTCCTCTGCACTCCCCTGATGCGTCTCCCCCTACCCGCCCTACTTCTCTGCCCCCCTTTCTCTCTCTCTCTCTCTCTCTCTCTCTCTCACTTCACCCTCTTTCCTTGGGTCTTTGCTTGCTTCCGCTCTGTCGATGGTGAGTTCCGGCTCTTCCCCATCCGCTTATGCCCCACGATGCTTTGCGGCATGACGGTGTTCCTCTGCTGAGTTCCCACTGTCCAGCGAACATGACTGGCTCGTCTCCCTGGTGTCTGTTTCTGACACCCGATCCTGTTTATCTGATATACCTCCTGAGGGCCCCAATAGTTCGTCCGCAAGCTGAACATTCATTCATTTATTATTCATCTAAGTGGCTTGCGGGGTCAGTAAGTGCAGGTAACAGGAGAACAGGTCATGATCACTGAGGTTTGTGAGGACTGCTCTGCATCTGTAGATACCCTGACTGCTGATGTGCAGTGGGCATGGCTCAGTGCATGCTATGTTTATCCCAGGTCCCCTCAGCTATAATTGCCGCTGTTCTTGTGGTTTCAGTTGTCCTGTGTGGTTGTCATGGCGATCTCCCTGGTTACCTTCCTATTGGAGGGTTTAGTGATGTGTGAAAGTGTCACATGTGCCCTATCTTTGACCCCCATGTGTTCCCCTTTCCTCTAAGTGTTTGATGGATTAGGGGACTTGCTTATGCCTGCCATGGCGCCCCAGGGCTCAGCGGCGCCCCCCGTGATAGGAACTGGGATGTCGGCGGCAAGTCCACCTGCAAAAGCCATCGGAGGTGACCTGGACTCCTCCCTGGCAAACCTGGTTGGAAGTACGTGCTGATCTGTGGAGGTGTAAGATTGTACTCATCAGTGACAGGAGTGATCAGAAGTATATAGAAAAATAATGCTTCAAATGCCCTTTAGCGCCCCCTGAAGGTAACTGGTAGGAGAGCAGGATCAATTTAAACACCTATGACAGTGCAGAGTGCAGCTGGTGCACAATCTGATCTTGTTTCCCTTTTTCACAGACTTGGGCATGGGGAATCAGAAAAAGTAAGAGCACATTGTGTCATATCTGTTTTGGTATGTCCTTGTGTGTATAGTTTTCAACTAGGAGTCTTTGATTTACTAACTGACTAAGTTCTGAACCTGAGTGCATGGGGGGCGGGGTTGCTTGGAGGATGCTGATTGGCCGATCTCCTCTGTCACTCAGAGACATGCAGTGGAATGAGAAAAAGCTGACTGGTGGTGCCAACTGGCAGCCACAGGTAGCCCCCACTAGCTGGGGGGGCCCTGGCTCTCAGATGGTAAGTGGGGTTTTGGATCTTGAAGAAGTTCTGTGTGTCTGTACTAAGCTCACAAACAGCAATCATTCTCACCCTCTGTGTTCTCCCGCCTCCCCAGTCGGGCGCCTCCCCTGCGGCTCCAGGTGCCACGCCCCCAGCCGGAGCCATGGCTCCACCAATGGGAGCGCAGCCAGGATTCGGCATGGTAGGGACGTGATCAGCGCGCTGTGTGCTGCTTCTGTGCCCGTGGAGGGCCTGGCTCACCACACCTCTGTCTCCCCACCCACAGCCCCCAGCTACCGGAGCCCCCATGATGCCTCAGATGTTCGCTCAGCCAATGATGAGGCCACAGTTTCCTGGTGCAGGAGCCCCTGGGGCCCCGGTACTGACAGGCACACAGTGACAGACATACAGACACAGTGACAGACACACACACAGACATAAAGACACAGTGACAGAAACACGCAGTGACAGGCACACACACAGTCATAAAGACACAGTGACAGACACACGCAGTGACAGGCACACAGACATAAAGACACAGTGACAGAAACACACACAGACATAAAGACACAGTGACGGAAACACGCAGTGACAGACACACACACAGACATAAAGACACAGTGACAGAAACACGCAGTGACAGACACACACACAGACATAAAGACACAGTGACATATGGCACACAAATATCCATAATCGTTTTCTTTGACTGCCTCCATACTGTTGTACAGTATAAACACAGCAAGTAGGTGTTGTTTCTGCTGTGTGACTCTGCTTTGCTTATTCCCCCCCCCCCAAGCTGTCTCCAGGAGCTGCCCAGAGCCCTAAGAAGCCCCCCTCCAAAGACCCCCTGGCAGATCTCAACATCAAGGACTTCTTATAAAGCCCAAGGTACTTTGTTTTAGTTTGCAGGGTGAGGGGCCTGCACACACAGGGGGAGTTCCAGTGTATTGGTCTCGCAGCTCACACACACGCACACACACAGTTACACATGCACACGCGTGACTCCCATCTCCTCCCCCGCAGCTGCTTTCTCCATGGCGACACGTTGAGCGCGGCTACTGAGAGCCGTCAGACATGGATGACCCCTGAGGATCACAGCTACCACCGGAGCCCCTCCCCCTGCCTCAGCCCCTCCCCCTCCCTTAGCCCCTCCCCCTCCCTTGTCATGTTGTAGCACAAACTGTGAAACTGAACTATAGGAAAGGATTGTGTGCTTATCTCAATGTTATCTTCCCTTGAACAATAAGACATAAAAAGACATAAAAATGGTGTATTTTGTTCTGCCCCTTTCGAATGATGGACGTGTGTGTGTTTGATGCCTGCTCCGTCTGGCCCTGCCCCCCCGAGCTGACGTACAGGCGATTGTCTGGTGTGCGTATCGTTCATTGCTGATAGCTTTCGGTGTACATAAATCCCTTAAAATATCTTATTTCCTGTGTATCTATATCTATTCAAGAGCATATTGATGTCGGTCTAATATCAAACTGAATCAAAAGGCCATTATTTTATCTCCCATCTGCAGTTTAATTTGGGAACAAATATGGATATATGAGATATAGATATATAAATAAATATATATATATATGTAAAAGGTTTGCAAGCTCCTCACACCTGGAACAGCCTTTTCACTTTATAATGTTTATTTATTTGTTTATTTATTTAATATTTATTGGTTTAGTTTTATGTTTTTATGTCGAGCTCCTCGCTCCGTTATTTATATCTTGTTTAAATTTGTACTGTTTACATTTCTGGACATTTTGTCTGCAGATTTTATTGATCTTTATTCTTATTTTGAGAAATTTGTTATATTTTGTTTATTGTAGACGTTGTGCACATAAGAAAGAATTGTCCCATGATTACTTGAAAGCAGAGATCAGTATGGACGTCCATTTAAATAATAACTACACTTGTATAGTGGCCTAGGAAGCGGATTTGGTCTTGCTGTTTTGTTTTTCTGTCTCTATCAGTGAACTATTGTGTTTTGACCCTCATAGTAAGTAGTGTTCTATTCCTGCCAACCCGTGGTCAGCCCCCATAGTGTTATTTTTGTAATACATTAGAGCGAGCAGGCATTTGGTTCCTAACCCTTGCTTGGGGTCGCCCCACACACCTGTGCCCCCTTCCCTTTCACCCTGGTTGATGTTCACATGGTGTTTTCTGTTCCTCTTCCCTTTGGTGAACAGTGGTATTGTAAGTGTAGGCACTGGCAAACGTCTTAACAGTTCATTGAAATGTCCAGGAGAGGTCGCTGTTGACCACAGTTTCTGTTTGTTTCTACGGCAGCTCAGTAGAACCAGTGGAATCAGTTTGACTGTAGATGCCGTACACTGTTGTTTCCTTCCAAGTGACCGTGTCAGCAATCGTTGTGAAAAAACAATGGATAAAGAACAAGACTTTAACTTTGGTTTAAAGATAGCTTTTGTTTTCTTTTTCATTTACCCCCAGTGCATGTATGCTCTTTGAAATGCAATAAATACATTGACTTAAGGAAATATGGGTGTGTCTCCAGGATGAATGCCTGTATCCCTTCCATTTTTTGCTCATAAAGTTTTATAAATGAATGTAATATTTCAGTTCTCAGATACTGAATCTACATAAGGATGACAAAAATAAGGTACTGATCTATAAAATGTGTTACAGTTTAACCTCCTACTAAATCCAGACACCGTGTTAACCATTAAAAAAAATTATTTATTTTTTTCTAAAAATGTTACAAAGTAAAACTAGCACCAAGAATTTGTGATACAAAGCACCAGCACTGTCGTCCATGGAACACAACGTAGCTTCTGCTGTGAGAAAAATAAGCTTAAATCAATAAAAAAAAAAAAACCTCACCAGGATTTATGATTCTGTTCTGTCAAAATGTAACACTGATGAAAGATAATTTATTTTGAGCTTATTTAAAATAAAAAATCATAACCATTAGGTACTTAATAATTAATCTTATCCTCTCATAACCTTAAGTGAGCACCAAATGTTTCTATCTAAAGAAAAAATCTTTCTGCGTCATTTCTCAAATCAGAAAATGCCTATTTTGAGACAACCGTGCTGGCTACACACAAGCAAGCTATTCAGAAGATCTGGCACCACCCCATGTCATCTGAAGTAGCAGAAGCTATCATGCTGTGATAATGTCTTGGAGAACATTCTAGAGGCTGTCACATTTGTTTTGCACCTGGATTTTCTCTCAGTATCACACACTTTTTTTTTCGTTTGCATCTATTAACCAAATAAATTAAAAAATACAAGCTGACAGAATTTGCTCTTGCTCACATGGTTCCGTTCTCTTGGTGATCGGCATTGGAAAAGTCTGGAAAGACACAAAGGCGTGAACGGAAATGCGAAGCAAAATGGCCACATGGCAGGACTCAGTGGGGACCGGGGCTCCCTCAGGTGCTGAGACATTCTTCAGAGTTGCCGTGGATCCAGTGGCAGATCTGGGCATATTTGGCCGGCGTGATCCTCACAGCCACGTTGTAGTCCCGCTGCACCCCGTCAACATCCAGCCATCTGTGACCTGAAAACACGCCGATGATCTTCCTCTTCCACTTCTTCTTTCCTGGGTCTCTCAGGCGCACGTAGACCCCTGAGCCACTGGATCCTGGTTGGGCATCGCAGTACTGATACAGCAGGTCACTGGATTCGTCTGACACCGAGCAGAACCGGTACACCAGCTGGCCCTGACGGTCGTCATCGAAGCCTGAGAAGTGTATACGCCCAGCGGGCAATTTCTTGACGGATGGCACGAAGCCCAAATCCATGGAGGGCTGCTTCTGCGGACGCTTGAGGGTCAGCAGGGCGTAATCGTAGTCCAAGGCCACATCTTTGGACACGTCTTTGAACCAGCCTTTTGGGATCTGAGTCTGCTTCACACGTGTCCATTGGAAAGACAGCTGCTTGGGCTGCACACTGCGCCCACTCCGGTTCTTCTTCACCCTTTGCCCTTCCTCCGTGCCATCGCCCCTCCCTTGTCCTCTCCGCTTTCCTCCACCTCCTTGGCGCCCTCTTCTCCTACCTTCGTTGCTACGCCTGGAGCGCAGCTTTAGAAACCCAACCCGTAGCTTCCTGGCGCCCTTCACATAGTCCTGGCCATCATGGATGCAGTGGGCGGCCGTCAGCACGTGTTTCGGGGACAGTAGGATACCTGAGCATCCGGTGGAGACCTTCACGGCGGTGGAGAATGGATAGTTGGTGGAGAACTGCGAGTCAGAGATGGTGAAACGGCCATCCATGCCGTAGAGTTCCCTCCGGCGGCGGGTTCCAGAGGAGATGTTCCTCTTGGATTCCCCCAACCCCTCATTGGGGTTCCACAGGGACACAGTGGTGACGGTCCGCGTGCCATTGCCATACAGGGTCTCGTAGGACAGACACTTCTCCAGGTCCTGGAGGCTGGGCTGGGCGAGCTGGCCTTGGCACTCGATGCCACAGGCATGCCCAGGCTCCGCCCGGATCTCAGCCTCGAAGGCTGTGCTGCCAAGAGACACCGTGTCCCTGTCCCGCACTAGCGGCACCCTCTGCTGGGGCCAAACATTCTGGCTGTCTCCATTCGTCACGCTCTCGGCCACAGCCAGGGCCATGGCTAATGTGGCTAAAGAGAGCAAAGCATATAGGGAAACGGGGCCCATGATGACAGTGCTGTAGCTCTGGAACAGAAGAAGAGGAGCCAAGTTACCATTCGGCATGGCAGCGTCAGACAGACAATAATACTCTTCAAGGTACGATGAGGACACCATCACGCAGGGATGTTAGCACTTAGCATTAATCGGCTATCTGAAATCGTTCACCATTGTGCTGCTTTATCACAAAAATAGCAGTTTACCACACATTTTGTATACCACTCTGTATTCATGCCCTTTTGATGCAGTTGTGTTATTAGCCTTTAATTATCTCATCAGTTATATGATGCTACTGCTGTGTAGCATCACAGGAGGCATTATGCACACAATCTTCTAGCAGAATAGTGACTCTGCCATGTTGTACTTACTATAAGGAGTCTGTGCACATAAAGGACGGTGAGTTTGTGGCACGATGGCTCACTGAAACTGTTGATTTCTGTTTTGTGTGACACGTTATTTCAGGGTATGCATGACATGTCACCCAATCCGCTGTGGCCACGTAATGCAATAATGCTAGAAGCCTCAGATGGAATTTACATTAGTAATTTTTAGCTCTTATTTCTTAGTGCTGCCTCGCAAATTTAAAAAGCACATTAAAGAAATAGTTCACTCTTCCTATTTACAGACTCTCTCTTTTGGCGGTGTCACCCATGCACGCCCCAGAAGACATTTTGGATTGATGGATGGATGGATGGCTTGCTGGCTGGCACTAGACAAAAAGATGACTGCATCATTCCCCTGATGTTTGCCATTACATGCCTCACACCCCGAAGACCGCAGTCATGTTACAACCCGTAACAGCATTTACAATCCTGCTGATAAGGGTGATTACCACCTCATACAGTGTCACTAGGGGTTAACAGCAACTCATACAGTGTCACTAGGGGTTAAGAGCAGCTCATACAGTGTCACTAGGGATTAACAGCAGCTCATACAGTGTCACTAGGGATTAACAGCAACTCATACAGTGTCACTAGGGATTAACATCAACTCATACAGTGTCACTAGGGATTAACATCAACTCATACAGTGTCACTAGGGATTAACATCAACTCATACAGTGTCACTAGGGATTAACAGCAGTTTATACAGTGTTACTAGGGGTTAACAGTAACTCATATAGTGTTACTATGGGTTAACAGCAGCTCATACAGTATTACTGGGGGTTAACCGCAGCTCATACAGTGTTACTCGGGGTTAACAGCAGTTCATACAGTGTTACTAGGGGTTAACAGCAACTCATACAGTGTTACAAGGGGGTATTAGCAATTCATTCAGTGATACCAAATGTTATCCTCACTTGCTGTGCTGCAATGGGGTTTATCACCATTCATAGTGTCACTATGGATTATCACCACCTCCTCCAACACGGCTGCTAAGCCTTATACGATGCTCTCATTAGCTGATGGGGATTATCCACATATACGGTGTACCAGTCAAAAGTTTGGACACGCCAGGTCACTTGCAAAAAAGAGTGATGGAGTCACATCACATGACCTGGTCAAGTTAAACATGGTAGAAATGGTTCTGGAGGAATTTGACCAAAGAGAGAAGGAACAGTGACCAATGGGTGCTCAGTATATATATGGGACCTTCTTCAGGACAGCTAGAAGAGCATCCCAGGAGGCCACCTCATGGACCTGGCATAGAGGAGAAATCATGATCAGCCAGTCCCTGAAAAATAATGCCAGGGTAATTCTTTAACTGAAAGAATTTTCTATTGCACTTTCAACTATCAAGTTACTATTATCCTTTGCCACTTTGCGTCACTAGAGATTCATGTAAAGCCTTTACTACACTGTCAGAAAAAAGGGTACCGCCCTGTTACAAACAATAAAGTACTGCCAATGGTGTAAAATGTTCCTCAAAGTAAATTTCTATACCTTAAAAGGTACATTTACTTACAGCTAGGGTACAACTGGCAGCCCCTGGAGGGTAACTGGTAACTCTACCCTCAATTGTACAAATTGGTACTTTTTCTGACAGGTAGGAGAGGTCTGATTTTAATAAAAATTAATGTGAAGAGTATTTCATCCAAATTAGTAAACATTTGTTTGGGGGGCGGGGCTAAATAATATTATAGAGGGTCCAAAGCCACATTGAAATGGCCTTACCGACGAAACTGCGGCACTGTTAAAAGGCGACAAAAAATTTGGACAGTAGAGGGCAGCAGTGGTTCATGTACCCTACATGCGTTTATTGATATTTATTTCATTGAATAAGCACCCCGTTATTGCATGTTTGTTTGTGTTCAGTACGATATAAAGCAGATATGATCCTTAGGGATGAAAAAATTGCCAATACATTATAAAACCTGTAGCATTTAAGGTGCTGCATTTTGTAGACCAGTGATTTGCAGCTACCATGGGTTCGTTTGCACGTTTGCTTCGAGTCTTGCCCCTTAATTTTACAACTGATCATGGACCACTTTATATACTGTGCTTACATAACCGAAAACACAGCCAAATACATTGTTTATGCACAAATTGTGTTTATTTTATACTGACGTTTAATGCTCATTCAATTTCGAAGACTTCAACGACATTTTCACATCTGTTGAATTTTTCAGATGAACTTTTTAATCTATTCCGCAGTATAAGCAAATCCTTCTGCAATTAAATCATGGAGCTGTAACAGTGGGTAAATAATTAATTCATTGTATATTTAAAAAATCTACGTATTTTTATTTTTCAGTTGCTTGACAGGATCGATAACTCAAAGGTGAAGTAGTTTTCCTCAGATTCTATTAAGTATTACTGTTCAAATTAAGTGCAGAGACCAAGGGCCCAACACCAAACTATGCATCAGCGGTACTCGGTAATTCTGTAGTTATTTATATCAAAGTTCGAGTGAATTCTCTCAGAATCAACGTCATATATACCATACCGTACCTTGTTATTAAATCAACTGAAAACAAACGCGTCAATTGCACAAAAATATACTGTTTATTTCAATACAGAAAGTACAACCCAAATTTCACGAGTATGAAGTCATAGACTCTTCAGCTTATTGTTAGCGTCCCACAAGCAAGTGCATTGCGCTGTTGCACCGTGTGTCCCGCAACAAAACGGAATGATCATGATGCATCACAAGATGTGGCAGTAACTACCGCACACAAAATACAATGAATAAATTACATTTAATAACATACCACACTATAAAATATTCAATCAAACAACCGAATTATTTACTTGTACGAAATTGATCTTATAGTTATTTAAGTTAATCATTACACTTTAAAGGTAAAAATTTGTGTGGGGGACGTACCTGATATAGTTCAATGCGTGAAAATGAAAGATCCAGTATCTGTACGTTTAGACAATCACCAGCAGTTCTTGTTTCAAATTGCTATCATTCCCAGTTTCTGTACGAACTGGGAAAGCCGGCTTCTCGCAGCATTTGCACCGAGGACGGAGGCAACATCCAAAGCGCCCTTTATGGATTACACTTGATGCTTGTGGAAAAAAAGATTTGCGACGAAGAGGTTTGCGTAGGGAGGGACCAGCAGTCAAGACAGGGACCGGACCGTATTAAGTTCATAAACAAAGCAGTGCCGCAACTCGGGGGTTTGGCTCTGCACAAAGAGAGTCCTGATGCTGTTGAGTGCAAACTGTGCGGCATTCAAGGCGGTTCCATTCATTCATTTTTCGGGGCACCCGTCCCGGACCCTCCACCGACGCCCGACCGAGTGTTGGTTATCACGGGACCACGTACCCGGTCCGAGCGCTTGGAGATAAACCAAAGCATACATAGGCTACATATGAACTCATGTATACATGCACGCAAATCAACTGTGTGCGTGTACAATATAAATACGTCCGCATCCCTGACGATTCTGCCCCAGTAGAAACTGAGAAATGTGCACTATTATTTGTTTGTTTATTTAATTGTTTTCCCACAATATTTGGAAGTTGTGTTCGGCTATATTTGGGGTGTTTGATTTTTCGGAGAGAGACGCAATATTATATTACTACCACCAGGTTTGCCCTGAATGTCTAACTGGAGTATTTGCGAAGTATTTTACAGTTGAGTGACTGTAGCGTTGTGTGTGAGAGCTTGATTGAGTAATAGATTTGATGTAGACTATTTGTTGACTGGCTTGCACAGTACTGTGCAAAGGCTATAGGCAGCCAAAGGAAATTATATTTACATATTAGACTTTGGGCTATCAAGATGACCTTGGAAGCCCAGAGTTTTTTTTTTCCTCCTTTTTGATTCCTTTCCTGCGTTGTCATCTTCCTTTCTTTATTTAATTTCTTTCCTTCCTTTTTCCCATTCTGTATTACTCTCTCTAATGGTGTTGTAATCACAACACATCCATGTAAAGTACCTTGGGATGATTCTGTTGTGAAAGGCACTATATAAAACAAATTGAATTGAATTACAAATGTATCTTTTAAATGGTGAGGTTGATTCCACAATTGGGAAAAGCCAGCACATAAAACTGACAGTAGAGTCTTAAAATTTCATCCCTATAGGAGTCCATAAGTAGATTAAAAAATACATACATAGAAAGTCTTGTCACTTATGCCTCTTCTTTAATACATTTTTTTAAAATGACAATTACACAGAATTTTGACCTAAAATTAATGCATAGATCATGAAGTCTCATAAAGTATTACTCTGGACTGGTGTTTTATCCGTAATTGCAAACTTGTACAATATGATGCTGCCTGACTGCATTTAAAAATAAACTGTAATTTTGTTCAACTTCTTGATAAATAAATAATGCAGGAATACAGATGTGACTCGGTTGCTGTCAATGTAATGTAACCTTTATATCATTTATATTCCCCTCGCTGTTTCCCCCTCATTTCACTTGCTCAGCCATTTTCTTTTCTTTCTTTCAGACAGTGTTATTAAATTTTGACATTTAGCTATTTAAGGAATATACAAAGTATATTATAGTCTATTATAGTCTATATATATATACACAATAACAACATATTATAATTATATGTAATTATATATAATATACAAATTATAATGTGATTGAATATAAAATAAATAAATTAATCACTGTTTATACTAGAAAAAACTTAAACTTAAAAATATAGAGTCTAAATAGAGAATAGATAGGAAATAGAATACACGTGGAACTAACATAAAAATATATTAACCGCAGTATAGCAGCAAAAACCAGTGTACATCACCGTTTCAGTTATAGTGCAAGACAAATTTGCAGTATATGATGCTGCAAAGCCTCTTCCCAGAGGGCAGCAGGGAGAACGGTCCGTGGTGGGGGTGGGCGGAGTCTCCGATGATGTCACAGGCTCTGCTGAGACATCGTTTGAGTGCAATGTCCTGGATGGATTTCCTCCTGAAGTCAATGATCATCTCCTTGGTCTTCTCATCATTCAGCATCAGGTCGTTGTCACTGCACCATCCCACCAGTCGCTTCACCTCCTCTCTATAGGGCAGGTCGCTGTCGTTCCTAATGAGACCCACCACTGTTGTGTCATCCGCGTATTTTATGATGTAATTCGAGGCAGATGCAGCACAGCAGTCCTGAGTCAGCAACGTGAACAACAGAGCCACTCGGCCCTGAGGGGAACCGATGGAGAGAGAGATGGAGCTGGAGATGATGTTCACTGACTGTGGTTTGCCACTGAGGAAGTCCAGCAGCCAGTTACACATGGGCATACTGGTACCCAGTGACGCACCAGCTGCTGGGGGATGATTGTATTGAACGCTGAGCTAAAATCAACAAACAGCAATTGTACGTTGGTGTTCTTGTCCTCCAATATATATATATATATATAAAAAAACTGTAATAAAATAAAAAATAGAAGAATTTCTTCTGATCTCCAAAATGCCACTGATATCTCATTGAATGACAAGAGGAGTAGAGCTATAGTTCACAAAACTATTTCTCGGTGGGCCAATCCGTGTGTTTATCTAAATTTCACCAACAATTCATTTAATTAATTAACTTAATTAGTGGATTCATTAAGCATTGATTACCCTAACAATCTGTTCTAGTGGGTGAGTTCATCAAACACTTGGATATATTGGATGGTAACTGAAAATACATGGGTGACTTGACAAGAGATTTTAAAATAGCTAAGCTGACACTTTGATGGTCATAAAGTCATCATTTTATACCAACATAAACATAATTTAAACATAGTTTCCACTGGCTTAGTGAGAGTTTTTGCACTGCAGTGCTGTGTTTGTAGTGGTTACTGTCAGCTTGGTTGGAAATGCAGTAGGATTTGTTGGCCTTGTCCACATGTGGAATATAAGATAAAAAACAAGAACTGAGAAGAAAAGGTGAAAGACCGCAAGGTTATGAGGTCAGGTGAAAAGTGAATTTGTGAAAACATCAACTTGAAGCTGAGAGACCAAACAGAAAAAGCAAAGGAGCCACATACACACAAAACAAGCTGGCGTGAGGATTTATGACTGAACACGTTAGTCACCATCATCAGGCCTTTAGTTGAGCAAAACCTCTCTTCCCTGGTAGGCTTTGCTGATAATGTTGAGTTTGTTGATAATTCGACTTCAGGCAGCAGAGAAGGATCTGTAGAAGGCATGCTTCAGATACTTGCACTTAGACACATCACAAATGCCTCTTATATCCTCTACAGTACACGTGCATGTGTATATGTGTGTGTGTGTGTGTGTTCCCAGAACTCCCAGCAGGCGTGGGAGTGGAATCCTGCACAAAGCGTGCTTTAGCCCAACATGCCAAAGTAAACATCCAGTAAATCAAGAGCATTGAAAATATGGCTGTGTTCCACAAGCAATTACTCTCATGGAATGTAAAACATTTTCAAAAGAGTGTGGAACAACAGCTTATCCTTGACTAGATCTAACAGGTCCAGTAAAGAGCTGCACGGCTAATCTAACACTCCTGTGTCTCCTTCATGCCATCCTGTATTCAACATAGGTCAGTTTACACGCCTGTACAGTGTGTTGTGTGCTAGAGCCACAGCTGTATCAACATCCAGCATGTTGGGAATCCTGTACCAAATGGCCAACAGCAGTGCATGACTCCTATGTTTTGTGCAGAATCTAATGTCTCCCTATAAAGTTGTTAAGCTGAACATTTTTTAGAGCCCAGGCTGCTCGATTTAACCCTTTGCCAGCTGCCGAGGACCTGAAGGATCTGCCGGCACTAAGCATGTTGCCTCTCAACGGATGTTGATAAACACATTGATAATTAATGTGACAAGTCCAGACTGGTTCTAAACCAAGCATCCTTCTTCCATCAGCACAGAAAAGGCAGCTGCAATTAAAAGGCAAACTCCCTAAGATAAGAATCTCCAGATCTCTTCTCAGCTACTTAGGCCTACTATGAACCTGGTACCAGTTCCACATAGCAGTCTTATTCAGGACTGGTGCTCTATGCACCTGTAGCCATGTCACATTGATCTGCATCTACTGCACAGCTGAGTTGGACCTACATTGTGCTGTATTCATTGTGGTGGCTATCTGGACTTCCCTCCTGCACAGTGGTTAACTGGACTTCCCTCCTGCACAGTGGTTACCTGAACTGCCCTCCTGCACAGTGGTTAACTGGACTGCCCTCTTGCACAGTGGTTAACTGGATCGCCCTCCTGCACAGTGGTTAACTGGGCTGCCCTCCTGCACAGTGGTTAACTGGATCGCCCTCCTGCACAGTGGTTAACTGGATCGCCCTCCTGCACAGTGGTTAACTGGATCGCCCTTCTGCACAGTGGTTAACTGGATCGCCCTCCTGCACAGTGGTTAACCAGCTCCTGTCTCCTTACACCATGCTGCCACACTTCTGACTTCTGTTGGTACCTGGGGTGCGTCACCAACTCACAGATGCTCCATTTTGCGCTGCCCAGCCCATTTTTTCCTTTCTCCTCCCCTGAAATCCAATAAACCCCAAGAACAAAGGCGGCTGTGTGAAGTCCCGGGCTGAACAATAGCCACAGGCATGCCGCTGCACACAGGACGCCTGGAGGCTGAGAGCTGGCTTTGCTTCTCCATGACGAGTCAGGGTCCACCGACACCATGTGCTGGCGCTCAGGTGTATCGTGTCTGGCGTGAGCCGACATGTGCTCTAACACCACAGAGAGGAGGAGCTCCAGCACCAAGGCTGGGCTCCCAGTCCAAGAGACAAGGGAAGCTAAAAACTTTCCCGAAAGTGTCCACGCCTTTCTCAGGTATCTTCAGTAGTTCTCTGTGGTCCAGAACAGGCATCACCAATTTCCTGTTATGCCTCATGGGAGAAATTAACCTTTGAAACCCACAGGAGGTGAGATTAATGTATGCTATCAATTACTGCCTGGTTTCACCCAATGGGGGGGCAATACGGTGACCAATGAGAAGCGGCAATTGAAAAAAAACATGGCGATGATTAACAGCACGTTATAATCCCACCCACCGGGGGTGTGAAAGCCATAATCTCCACTGAGCAGAGCCTGGTACTCTTCTTATCACAGCGTGATTCTATATCTTAAAAACATCACTATGGAATTTGGATATTCTTACTAAGTCAGCCCCAATCTTCCACCAGTCATGCTGATTTTACACAAATACGACCATATTGCCAAAATCACTTATTACAACTTCAAAAACATTATTCTCCTTTTGCGTCTTAAAAACATTTACTGCAAAATGAACTACACTGGTATTCCTTATGTTGATTATAACTGAACATACAGAATGTGTTATTTAGTTGTTCTGTAATCTTACGTTAATTAAACATGATGAAACATACACAACATGTTAATTATTCAGCTTAAAAAGTAACCTTCATCTTTGCTTTTGTTTGCAGAAGTAATAATTGATATTATATACATAATTACACTATGCTGTCATACCATAAATTAGTTATTAATTAACATTGTCACTCCAAAAGTTTAATCAGGTTCTGCTCCACCCACTCCAGGACCTCTACCCAGAATGCTTCAGTTCTAATGTGACATACCTGGTTAACCCCTGTAATTCTGCAGCTGTACCCTAGGGCCACATGGAGAGCACTGGAGAACTGTGTCAACCAGTGCCTGGTAACAGGTCATAGTTTTGTATCTCATAACCATGTTTTCTGCTGCAGAAGTCAGTTGGATCCGTCTCCCAATTTATTATAGTGCACCAATTACAGCTAATGTAATTCCTTCAGTAATTTGTTTATAATGTGATGCACAGAATGGCTCCATGAATCATTTAAGTTAATATAGTGTAGTAAATACTGATAAGATGGCCTTGCATTGAAATGGAACTCCAGGCTGTCCCCGGCTTTGTGCCCCGTGCTGCCTAGGATAGGCTCCACCCATCCCATCCCCCGCAAACCCTGACCATGATGGATGGATGGATGGATGGATGCATGCCCTGTAACACAGCCATTCCCAGTGATTCTCGGGACCAAATAAACAAAAGCTTCCCTTGAACCTGAGGACGGGATCCGGCCTCCACGCGTTCAGTGCCTCCACGCGCTTCTAGCGTGACCGGCAGCACATTTAGGTAACCTTGACAAAACGGGGCCGCCTGTATCTGTGCTTAACCAAAGCTCCCTGCATGTCGAAATCGTAAATGTTCATGCAGAACGGGTAGAGACCTGCAGGTGAAACAGAACAGACCTCTGACAGTGTTCTCATCATCCCATCAGACCTCAAGCGAATAGCCCAGGCGATCCAGTGCTGCCAGAATGAATCATAAGACATCCAGAGTCAGCATGACTCAGCAGTAACCTGAAACAAAATAAGCCGGTGTCATACACGCACGTGCAAACACATAACATACAAAACATACAAAACATACAAAACAACAAAAATTAGGTCAGAGGTCCATCGAGACCATGTTTGTTCAATGTCCCCTCATTCAGCTTAACTCGCCTTTATGTATCGAGCGCCTTTGTAGAGGTCACGTGTTTTTACAGTATGAAACCGCAGAGAATCAGTCCATAATGAGGCCACTGCTTTTCTGCCTTCCCCGTGGCTGAAAATAATACCTGTTCAGTACTCTGCCCATTGTAGGAGGTGTTCTGGCTAATTTAACCTGCCCCTGTCGCTAAAATCCAAGGAGCAGTTTGTTCTTGCATGTTATGGTTATTTTCCTGAATTTAACTTTAACCTTTGGTAAACTGGTGCATTTTAAAACCGTTATTTTATAAATTGTTTTCAGTTGACTTGTTCAGAATTACCGGTAACATTATTTAGAAAAAATACGCTCTTTTTATTCATAGGCAGAATTAAATTTCCCTTGTTTGTCTTTTAATATATATTGTCATTTGCGCTAACAAACTTAGTTAATGATCAACTTTTGCAGCATTGCAATAAAACGCCTAGCTGATCAGAATTAATAAAAGCGGGTTTAAGGTGTCTGATAAGGTACAGGACTCGCTCACCTCTCCTGTCTCAAGCGATCCGATCCCATCCACTTGTTGCTGTTTAGTCGGGTCACTATTAGTCTATTTAAAGGAACCGACATGTCGCACGGCTCGGCCAAGCGAGACAGCCCCAAATGGGAAATGAGCAAGTCGGGGGACCAAGGTAAAACCTTCATTTATGCCAAGAAGAAGGGGTATGAAGTGACACGAAACCCCCACCTGAATAAGGTAAGGTGTTTGCAAAGTTCCGGTTTTATACGGCCTCGTACAGCCGCCCCCAGAGTTATAGAGCTGGGACTATAATTAGATTTTAAGAGGCACGGCGGTGGCGCAGAAACAGCCTGTCCCACGGATCCCGGCTTCGGGCGCTCATTGCGTCCGGTCCTGTTACACCAAGTTGTATCGCGCTGTATTGTATTAAACTCTATATTACCGAGCCGTCATTTTTTTGCCTTTGCACATAGCAAAACGGCCGTCAAATACTGGCCGTGCGAGAAGATTTTTAAATAAAGGGAAGGTTTGGTGTTGTTGTTGTTGTTTTTCTCATGTTGAACTTGACGCGTAAATATAACACCTCATTTTGCATTAGTTACTATTGGGTGTTTGAGTCAAGCTGAGGAACAGGTGCGCTTTCGCACTTTAAAGCGTTATGATCTGGACGGGCGGCGGTTGCAAATAAGCGGCGGTCCATAGCGGTCATTCTCGCCGGTTTATCATCAGCCTGACATATTTCAGGAATGAGTTGCACAGCAGGGAATACACTTCAGGTAGCGTGCTGCAAATGCCAAACTGGGTAATCCGAGTACGCCTCACTTCATGTTGTGCTTCTCAGATACCTTCCACAACAAACCTAGGTTATGGTGACTATTGCTGTGTTTTTGTAGTTATAAAGAAGGGGCTTCTGACGGAGAATGACAGATGTGTTGCCGGCTGACCTTTTCTTGGGCTTCAAGTTGTAAAGGCTAATCTCCTTGTGACCTTCACTCAGTCTGTCCATGAGACCTTGCAACAGTGAGTACATGAGTCAGTACTCAGGACATTGGGTATTGACCATGGTATTGCCTATGTATAGAATAACTGAGACAAAATATAATTCCGTGTAAGAACTTGTGTTACTGGCATTTCGGATTTTCTATCTGTGTAATAGATTCAGTTGTGGGTTCAGCATTTCTGTGCTGCTGGACAAAGTCAGCTGAGACTGACGAGTAACTGATAACGGTCCAGCAATAACTGCTGATAAAGCTGACTGAAGCAGCTCTCCAGCATAAGGCCGTCGGTCATGATTATCACAGTCCCATCGCTGTGCTGGTCGGGTTGGATATTAGCCTGTTCAGCAGAGAGCAATAAACCCGTTTGAGGAGGATAAGACGGGGTCAGGCTATTCAAGGTCATCCCTCACTTTCTGAGATCTGGGGGGGGGGGCGTTTCCCTGCTTCACCACCCAATACCCCCAAAGATGAGACTGGGCTTCTGGAACTATTAAAAAATGAACGCTGATAGTGTGATGGCATGATTTACACATAAGTAATGCAGGCCTATCTTACTAACATGGGTAATTCACTCCATGACATTGGTACACTGGGGGGTGGGGGGCTCACACCTTGGTGGTCAGTCAGTAACAGAGCTACCTCTGGTGGGTGCTTTTGGTTTATACTGAGCAGTTGATGCCATACAGTGTTGGCGCACACAGGTAATGTGTCTGGCACATAATGTTATTATTATCAACAAGTTTACCGCCACTGTTCCCAACCTGTGCCCCCCATTCCCCCCCATCTGGCCCTGGCTGTCAGATTTCTTCTGCTGCTGACACTGATGTACAGTATGCAAGTCTGGTGTGCCCGTTGAATTTGCACATGGCATGATTTTCATTCCAAAGCACATGCCACTTAGGATGGCGCTCAGAAGACGCCACACTAGGTGGCCGTCTGCGATGCATAATTGGTCGACCGGCCCTGTTCAGTATGTCTGGTTGATGGTTGGCTCAATGCGTCTCTGGTTTCTTTGGTGGTTTTCTGAGGAACTTACCCTGTGTTCGCAGTGGAGCTCAGGTTACCGGCCTCTGGTGAGGAGTCACTGCTGTTGTGACACATGTGAGACATGGACAACATCGATTCACCTTATGGGTGGAGCTGGAGAGGCGATGGTGGACCATCCACATCTACCGCCACACTGCGCTCTAATGTAGTGCTCTTTGGAAAAGGTCTCGGCTCTGAAGACTATTTGAGCAGAAAGGGGGGAAATCATAACAGAAGTGACCCATAACCGTTTCCTGTCAACGCACAATTGGGGCACTGTGAGGCAGAATGATGCACTATACCTTTTCCAGCGGTAAGTGTGCCCCCACCCACTTATGTTGCCCCCCACCTCTGCCTTGTCGGTCAGGACACACTCTCCCTTTGTAAGATTAGAGCCGGATTTTGAGGGCCTTTTTAAATTGTCCGCCTCTCTTCAGAGCTTCATAGGCCAAGCACTGTACCAGGCCAGAAATTTATGCTCTCAGGTCGACAGTTTTATTGGACGTACAGAAAATGTTTTCCCGCTAAGTTCAAAGGCAATATGAATGAAGCAGTCAGGGGCGGAATTTCAAGCTGCGTTACGAGTGCTGAGTCTTTTTCTGACATTGGTCTCTCCACCGCATCTCTACCCACAACAATTTTGTTGCTATCATCTGGGATAGTGAAATTTCTGAGGCAGCCTTGGAAGGTAAAATGTGGTATTTTCATGATTGTAAGCTGTGTAGCACAATTTAAATGCAATGATCTTTCCTGTTACTTGTTTACAACCAGGGGCACAGTAGGGGCATGGACACCCTGGCAGATGTGGAGGGCCCAGAACTTCACAGGAGCCCTTGAATATGTAAAATTTAATGTAAAATTGGGCGGGGGGCCCACAGTGACATTTGGGCACAGAATTTCTAGTTACGTATCTGTTTATTACAGGAAATGCCCAGTGACCCTCTTAAACATTATTCATGATGCACTAACCAGTTATAGTGCTGAGTGGTTAATGAGGAAGCAGGCTAATGATCAGCTGTAACCCCTATACCCTAATGCTGATATTGAAACTGACCTCATCCCAGTTCCTCCATGAAGTTCCATTTACAGCGCTCTACTCCCATGTCTTACAGTACTTCATGGAATTGTGGGGGTGAAGGGGTTAAACCAACAGGACTCTGCTCCTTATGCTTGGCTCCTGTCAGGAGACCTTGGCTTATCTAGGCTGCAGATCAGACATGGGTGGGGCTCGGCCAATCAGGAATGCCAGCTCGACTGGTGAGCGTATCACCCAAGGACTCTCTGTTCACGCCAGACGTGCTCTCCAGAAATCGCGTCAGTGAAGCAATATCTACTCTCACTTTCCAGTTCCTCACCCTTGTCAGTAGTTCTTGTTTTTTATTGCAGCCTGTAATCCTGACAGACTGATGGTCAGAGCTCATGCCACTGGGACCACTGGGGTCCAGGGTGCCCTGACAGACTGACCCCTGAGCCACTCAGCATCAGCCCATCAGGCTGTGTTAACCAGGAGGTCTGTGCAAGCCCTGTGCAAGGCATGCTGGGACACCTGGCAGAGGTGCGCCTCCTATCTCCGAGTGCCCTTCAAAGTAAACTCAAATCTGCTACTTCAGCTGGCTCGTAAGCCGATTTTGAAGACTTACTTGCCGTTGACTCAGTAAAGCCCCCTAGAGGTGTGGAAGTGTTACTGTTGCCTTCTGGTATCCAAGGCATAGGTTGCTGAGGGACTCAGTCTTACAGTAGAGTCTGCTGGCCCTGGTGTGTGTTTAGAGGTTGGACTCTAGGGTGGGTCCTGGTTTTCCTGAGCGTCGATCTGGACTCTCTGACTTGTACTGAAACCATAATAAAATGACACTGCACGTATTACAAGGAGGTGCTGAATTTGTCGTGTTGAGGATTGGGGTCAGATAAGCCATGCTAACTGGGCAGGGGGGGGGTCCCATTAGCACTGTTGCCTCATACATCTGGGACCGGAGTTTACGGCTTTTGCATGTTCTCTCCGTGTCATTGTCGGGTCTCCAGAAATAAGTTAAGGTGAACTGGAGTTATCACGTTGTCCGTAGGTGCAAATGGTGCTGGTGCCCTGCGATGGGTTGGCGCCCCTGAAATGACTGACATGCATATCATCGTGTAATGACCACTGCTTGGTGAAGGTCCTTTAGGTAAACGTGTGTAATCCGGTTAAAAGTAACCTTTTTAAACCTGATTCTCCCAACTTGTGCCTCTCATAATGCCCCCAATTCATGCCAGTAGCGGGACCCCGCCTTCTGCGGGTCACGCCTGCGTGGGGCCGCTTCCTGTCCCAGTGGGCTCCCCGCTGTGATGGAAGTGGTGTTTGTTTTCCTTGCATAGGAACAGATCTCCCCTAACCCTTCCTTTCCTGAGGATTGGCTGCTGGAAGGGGCTGTGGTGATGGTGGCCAGGACAGGGGCTCCTAAGCCCAGATGTTTGCAGCAGTTCCTATAAGCCCAGAGATCCATATGCATTGCTGTGCTCTGGGTGCCTGATCGGCTGCTGGCTTGTGGCTTGGTAGGTCTGGTTCCTCAGCATCATGCAACTGTTTCCTGATTCCTTTTAGAATCAAATTGATTGGAAGGACGAATGAAAACTGACCCCACACAATTTTCAACGTATCATTTCTCTGTACAGAAATGACAAATATTTTTTTTTTCATCAAAATAAAGGAAATCTCTTAGTCTTTCCACCAACCTACGCCTTCTCGTTATTTCTTCAAAAACCACACCGAAATTACCCATTGAAATGCGATGATTTTTCACCAGTTTGACGAAAAAATATTGGTCAGTTTCAGCTTCAGTTTTCTGTCTACAGTAAAGTGGGCAACAAAATAAAGCTTGGAAAAGAAAATTTTGTAGAAGATTGATAGAAAAATCTTGCAATAAATGGCAGAATGTGAGGTTTCCATTCATCAGGTCAGGGAATACCCCATTTGCTGAATCGCACAGCTAAAGATAATGATTTAAAAATGTTTGTGTCATTCTTTACTTTGGAAACATTCTGATTATTAAATATAACCTGGGCCATTTTTCAACTTTTACCTGCCCGCCGTTGAACCCTTGCTGCTTAATGACGTCTAAATAGACCCAGATTCCTTCTCCCCATCAGAACTG